TAGGATGACTAGCTGCCTTCCCTCTAGTCTTACACTGCTAAAGTATGGACGGCTAGCGCAGATAACCCTCGTGTAGCTTTGCGCGAAATTCAAAACAAACAAACAAACTTTTTAAATAAAATTATTCCTGCGTTAATAAATTAAATTAAAATTCTTCTAGAGCAATAAATGTTTTTTATAAGTTCACACAAGTTTTTATTGGTAGTGCATAATATAACTTTTGTATATTTTATCCACAACGTTTCACCAGCTGAAATACAAGAACTGAAGCTAACATAATTTAATTTAAAAAAGGATCACGTGAGATTCTATAGCAGCAATAATCTACAAGCATGGAACTAAGCAATTGCAACAATAAAGTAATTTGTCAATAAACTGTCAAATTTTAAGTATCTGTATAAGTATAATGGTACTGTCTGTTGTATGCCCATGTAACTACTTCGCAGGGTGTCAATAAATTGTCAATTTTAAGTATCTGTATAAGTATATTGGTACTGTCTGTTGTATGTCCACGTAACTACTTCGCAGGGTGCGGATGGATCTTTACCAAAATTGGTATCGAGGTTCATTAAGTCCATGCGGGGTACATACAAATTTTCAGTTTGACATTTTGCGGGTTTTATGGGCGTCTTTGCGGTTTTTTATCACTACTTCGCACCCTGTAGATGGATCTTCACCAAATTTGACATGAAGGTTTATTGAGTTCACGCTGAGATACATACAAACTTGTGGTTTCACATTTTGTGTTTTGCAGTTTTTATGGGCGTTTTTTACAATACGTATAAGGGAAGCAGCTTTTCATGTCTTAAGATAACCTTCCATTAACCATGAATTTACATAACTTCCATGGAGGAGACGGGTACTCCAGCTAGTAATAATGAATATTTTAGGACTGAGTTTAATTATTGAAATTCGGGAATTAAAATAGATATAAATGAACACCTTTGTAGTTGTAAAGAATAAGGTTATGTTTTTCTTATTAATTAGACTGTCTTTGTTTTTCGTCTATTATTTTTGTCTTCTCTGCTGAGGATTTTTACCTGAGAAGAATCAAAAGAATGATTGTTCCTAGACATGTGTGCAAAAACATGAGATGAAGATTTTTAAACATTCACACAAACGAGTAGAAAGTTGTCTGTTAGTCTTACCAATATAAAAGCTTTTGCTATCTGTACATCCAACTGTATAAACATTTCCTGAAGTATCATTATCCATATACTTTTGGATATGGATAATGTATATCCATATACTGTTCACCAAGCTTTTTTCCAGGTAAAAATGTACATTTTACTCTGATGTCAATTTTGTACTCTCTGGCTATTTCTAACCAAATTTTTTGATAGCATGAAATAAGTTTGGGATGAATGGTAAGACACAAGTAACGGGGAAATATTGAGAAGAATTATTTTCTATGTCAATTTGTGGCATATTTTCAAACCTTGTTTTTTAACCTTTTCAGTCCACTGATGGAATTAAGGTCTTTGGAAAAGGCTTAATTTATGTTATTACACCCAGAACTGTACATATACTTCAATTACAGACAGGATTAGAAGACTTTGATATTCTGAAACGTTTTAGTTCATCAAACAAACTCGCATCTTCTTATGTCAACTCAAATTCAAAACCTCGTGTTAGAAATTCCTCCGACATCATTCATGAAAGTACAGATCATCAAGACCTTTCGTTACATAACCAAATCACTCTTCCCTGAACTCTACAGTTACCCATTGTGTACTTTATCCAAATTCAAGAAAATAGTCAAGTTTTACCAGTTCTTCATGCTTTTCGTTCACGAATTACTCATCTTCTGGACATACCTAGACCGCTAAAATCAAACCTTTCTCCAAAAGAACATAGCACCGAAACTATTAAAAAGTGATGAAAGTGTAATTGTATTGAACTTTGATAAAGGTTATGATGGATCAGATAGTACACCAGGAAAACTCTGATAAAGGTTATGATGGATCAGATAGTACACCAGGAAAAACTCTGATAAAGTTATGATGAATCAGATAGTACACCAGGAAAACTCTGATAAAGGTTATGATGGATCAAATAATACACACACTCGTCGATGATTCATCTCATTTCCAAAAAATGGAAACTAACATAAATTTTTCAAAAAAAAGGGGGGGAATTAAAACAAGTTATTTTACAGTTAGAAAGAACTTCTCAGCTGTTTACTGGTATATATATTAATTCCTTCTTCCATCCTATTCCCGCACTTCTTAAACTTATGTTCTCCCCAAAACTCACAGACCCCATTTCCCCCTATGTCCTATTGTTTCGGCATACCAAGCTTACAACTACAACCTAAGTTGAGGTTATCAAAGGCTAAAAAAAATATCATGACTATATCGAAACCAAACAAACTGGTTTATAAAGTGAAGTCAATTCTTACCGTGAATATACTGACAAGTACTGGAGCTTTCCCATACTTAAAGTGGAAGATTTAGCGGCAAAGAGAAACAGTTTTCTTATAGTGTTGATGTTTAGGTGAAAAACGAGGATTAGAATCGTTTCGGTAACATTCCAGGGCAACATTTATTGCTTCAAGGACGGGGACTTGAGTGAACAGATTTTTTTTACATCAAATGTGACTAATTGAGCAAAGTGACTAAATTCTCGGAGTTTTTTGACAAACATTTCATAATTTTTTATGAAGGAGGAAGTACGAAAAACAGATTTAGAAAACATCCAAGCGAGGAACTTTCCGTCATTCAAGAGTTTTCTCTCATCTAAACCAGATAAACCCAAACATAAAATTCACGATGAACATTTATTGTTAAAGATACAATCACAGTCTTCCAAACCTCCGTATTTCGTAAGATCACATTGGACTTCGTGATCCTTGAAATTCCTTTCATGGCCAATGCCAAAAGCTAGATATATTAAAAGTTGCTATTCGTACAAATATAATTAAAAGTTCCATCATCGATCGTTTCAAAAAAAGAAATTGAAAACCTTAATTTCAGTTTTGTGAAAACAATTTCCCTCACACCGTTGTTAATAATATAGTTGCTTCCTTTGAAAATAAGCCACAAATTGATATAGAAAATGATTTTTCCGAATATTTTCCTGTTACTTGTGTCTTACCATTCATCCCAAACTTATCTTATGCTATCAAAAAATCTGGTCAAAAGTAGCCAGAGAGTATACATTTTTAACTGTAAAAAAAGCTCGGTCAACTACTGTCTAAAAGTGTTTGGAAATGTGTATCCAATTGAATGTACGGATTGAAATAGCTGTTGTATTGCGAGACAAACAAACAACCATCTACATTGAAAATCTCCATCTCATGTTTCTGAGTACTTGTCTGGGAACAATAATTCTTTTGATTCTTCTCAGGTAAAAATACTCAGCTGAGAAGACGAAAAATAAAATATTCCCTATTAATTAAAAACATAACCCTATTCTTAAGAAATATGTTCCTTCATATCTATTTTAACTCCCTTTTCTTTTGTATATAAAACGAATTTAAAAAGTTAGACTCGAGCCTCAAAAAGTTTTATTTATTACACCTAAATTTGACAGTTCATTGACAAATTACTTTATTGTTTGCAATTGGTTAGTTGCATGCTTGTAGATTATCATTATCACAGATTCTCACGTGATTCTTTTTTTAAGTTAAGTTCTGTTAGCCTCAGTTCTCGTATCTCACCTGATGATACCAGATAAACGTGATGAAACGTTGTGGATAAACTGAACAAAGGTTTTACTCTGTACAACCGGAAAAAACTTGTGCGAATTTAAAAAAAAACAACAAAAAAAAACACGCAATTCTTTCTAATATTTAATAAATGATTTTTATAAATGTATTTTTTTATATTAGAAATCGGTTAGTATATATAGGTTTTTGAATAAAAAACACTTTGGAAACAAAAGTTTGGGTAATTTCTTGAAATAATTAATATTAATCTTACGATCAAAAATAAAAAATTAACCTGATAATGAATATAGCTAATTAAATATACTGTTCTTGCTTATAGAGATTAAAAGGCATTATTAACAATATTTTCAGCAGGTAAACCTAATAATATCTCATGAGCTTTGGAAGTTTAAATTAGTCCTAAATCCATACTCCAAGGCCTAAAAGACTAAAGTACATCTCTATAATGAACTAATAATAAAACTATATACATATATTTGTGTATGTATGTATAGAAATCTACAAATGCCGTTAATGAAACTAACATTATAGAAGGAATAGAATAAATACCACTTACGGAACATACAAATACTAGAAGAAACGACTTGTCTCTTTTAAACTAAAAAAATAAAACCGTACAATTTGCTGACATTTTGGATGGACTTTAACATGTGTTAAATACGTTATTACACTTTCGAATATACATAGTTAGAACGAAAAAAAAAAGGTATCTTAAAATTTCTGGTTGTTTTAGGTTTTCAGGAAGTACTTGACTTTCTGTGGAATCGGAATCCAAAATGCTCAGTTGTTCGAGATGTCTGTTCAAGAGTACAAGAGAAACCAAGTAGGTATTAGCGTCCTCTCGTGGTATGCACAGTAAATGATGAAAACCATTTAGAGAAACTTAGCTAGTTATTATATTCGATAGCAAATTTAACTTAGAAAAAAAAATTGTTACAGTTTCATAGTATAGCTTTATATATGTGTAGGTATGTATATGCTAAAGTAAACACTGCAGCTCAAACGTGACGTAGCAATGTAAACCACGAGTGTTTAAGAGTTCTCGGAAGTACACATGTATGTTGACCATTTGCTACGCGCCAGAAACACTTGCGTTCAAGTGATTTATTAGGGGTTGAAGTTAGCGCTTACGCATTATGAAGAAACGTATATTAAAACTGGTACAGGTATAAGTGCGTTTTACAATAAAATTCGCTCGTGAACTAGATTAGATGTATATTTGTGCGAATAGTAAGTAGAATGTTATAAAGCTGAAAGAAAAAAATTAGAATGTGCATGGCACGTAAAATTACCAGATCAAAACACTTGAAAATAATGGCACGCCATTCGATATGCTTAGGAATTAACACAACGCAACACGTCTCCCGTTTTTAAAAACATCTCTTTTAACCTGTTACCATGTGACTTTTATTAACTATTTAGTTAGAGTTATTTTCTGTAAACTACACGCTGGTTTACAGTCACGTCACTAGTGATCTAATAAGGGTAATTAGTTTTAATTCCAGAACATATCGATTTTCGAGAGTCGGAGTTTCTATCGAAACAAACACTACAAACACTATTATTTCGTAACAACGGAACCTGAATTTTCCAAACGTAGAATTATATGAACTGTGCAATTGATTGTGAAGCTATATGCGCACCGAACACAAATGATGCACGGTTTTCAGTTCAATATTGAGTTGTACAATCATATTTCCTAACGAATTTGAACAGTTTAATTAAGATTAGTACGTGGCGGAAACGAATCACTCTTTATTTGAGGTAATTTCTCACGTATTGGTTTCATGTAGTGTTTGAATTTCAATTTATTTTATAAATTATTTTATACTTAACTGGTATTATTATTATTATGTGTGTGTGTATTGTGTAAAATTCAACACAAAGACTTGTGTTCTGTTGTTCCCACAATGACTGTGTTGTTTTTAACTAGAACTTGTGTTGAAGCCATTCAGACACCAGGTTCTTGTTCTTACAAGTAATATTGTTTTCAACACAAGTTTTTGCAGTGTATACTTTTCCTTGCTTCAAAGGCAACACCTCTAGAAACCCATCCTGTGCTGATGAAATCTTGTTCTATCACTTCTTTTGTTTAAATAATGTCAAATCAAGGTTATATATCATGTGTGGGTTCGTGTTTAGATATTTTACTGCTAATGTATCGATTTCCGAAACTCGGATAAAACTTCCAACTTGAAGGTTATTCAATATATAGCATTATTAAAGATTGCCCATTTTGTCTAACAAGAATTTATGTAGTCCATATAATACTTAGGTTAACAGCACTTTATCAGAATATCAACCACGTCCCATGCTGTCCTTGGAGCTATTTCCTTTATCGTCGGTGTGCTCGTTCTGATTATTATGATTACACACTATTGCCGGATCCATAGATCCTCCACTGTAGTAAACTTCAATTTCCAAGGCCATGTTTAAGGCACAAAAACCCATTGGAGCTGCAACGAGGGACTTGATAGGCTTATGACTGAGTGGAATTGCTGTAACTCCAGTACTTCAGTCATCATTTTCATTAAAAATCCTTTTGTTTCGAGGTGTAGTTAGAAGCTTATTTATTACCTCGACCCTTCGCCAACTACATCAATCTTTGTTTATTATATTGGTAGTGTGCCAGCCAGGGGTATCATATGTTGTTAGTATGCCAGCCAGGGGTATCATATATTGTTAGTGTGCCAGCCAGGGGTATCATATATTGTTAGTGTGCCAGCCAGGGGTATCATATATTGTTAGTGTGCCAGCCAGGGGGTATCATATATTGCTAGTAGTGCCAGTCAGGGGTATTATATATTGTTAGTGTGCCAGTCAGGGGTATCATATATTGTTAGTGTGCCAGTCAGGGGTATCATATATTTTTAGTGGTGCCAGTCAGGGTTATCATATATTGTTAGTGTGCCAGTCAGGGGTATCATATATTTTTAGTGGTGCCAGTCAGGGTTATCATATATTGTTAGTGTGCCAGTCAGGGATATCACCTTAGAAAAATCTTGAAGAGGTGAGGAATTGTTAGAATATAAAACACCTTCTGATCCAAATAGCAAAAAATTAGAAACTAAGCAATTATTGCATTCCTAATATACATTCGCAATATTTATATTTTCTTCTTCAAATGAATATTTTTTTTGTAGACTCGTTGTTGTTTAATCTCTTCCGCTTCCTACTTTCTGTCAGAAATATAACCGAAATTTTCTTTGACTCATGATATTTGCGATAATCACTTAACAACTGTGAAAGACCAATCAAATAAATGAATAAATGCCCGCAGGCGTATTAAGACTCTAAGCTTGAGCGATTACATCACATAGCAACCGACTGCATTTCCTATATAGATTAGAAATAAATGATGTTTGAAAACTTGTACTTTTTTTTTTCGTTTGTAAAGAAAACTTCAGTCATCTTATACATAATTATGTTAGATTCTGTAAGGTTGGATAGTGTGCAACCACTCCTTGCCTCACAGTAAATAACGCCCCTTCTACCAGGAGATATACTTGATTTCATCACAAACGCTTTTTTTTGGATCGAAGATCTCTCTTTTGTAACAACAGCAGATGTGGAAGTTGCTCCAGTTTGGATTGGATCTGTGGTTTCGGAGCTCGTTGCTGTCATAAACCTTCTGCTTTGCGAGTTTTTCGCTTCCAATAGAACATCAGTACTAGTCTTCTTCGAAATGTTTGTCTCTACATTGTATAATAATCTCAATGTGTGGAAATTCTGTGACACAGTTCCCCGGTCTAATTTTGGTAGCAGTGCGCAGTTAAACGTTGAAGAATTCACTGTGAACCAAATAAATGAATGCAAAATGTGTTGCCGTAGAAATACGGCGCGCATCTGCAGTGACGAATATACTATCAGCATATATCAATAGTTCAAATGAAGTGCGATTAACTCTTATTGAGAAACTGATGGGTTATTTACTGATTTCAAAAAAAAAATGTAGCAGTTCCGAAATACCAAGCAAAGAATAAAATGAACACGAACGGTAAAGACAAATAAACAAACAAAAGTTAGCAAATTAACAAAATATATATTCATAGATAAAAATATGCAGAGGTCTTTACTGCTGACCAGATTTTATGTAATGTTTTAAACTCTGGTTGCTAGAGCTTGAAAACAAAACAAAAACATGTTTTTTACAAGATGAAGACAAGATCGAAAAGAATCATGATACCACGCAGTTAACTCGTTAAATTGGAATACCTATAAAAATAATTTAAGGGATGTATTAATTTCCCAACTGTCTAAAACCTGTGAAGGTTTGTTATATTATTTAAATATATTTATAATTAAAGGTTAAGTCCTTCATGAACTTAATTTCTAAGTGTTTTGTTTGCAATTTTACACACACATGCACATTCAGTTTTCCCCGAGTTAAACATTTCTCAAACTTTGTAATGATTTCTGAACTTGTGATGTATATTTAACTGTCTTGAGGGTGTGTGTGTGTGTGTGTATAGCGAACGTTTGATTCCTAAGCAACTTTAGATATATATTAATTGAATTGTTCCACGGTCAACATCTTCTCTGGGCACACACAACCTCGACTTGTAGGAACGTCTATCATGTACCATCCTCATCAAAAACAACTCGAACTATGTGAACGGTTAGACGTCCGCAAAGGGGCCTTATTAACGCGCAAAGCTGATCTAACCCTAACCACGATATTAGATTACTGACTCTTCGTTGTCCCTCGATGCTAAAGAGTTAGTTTTAGATTGCATTTGCCCTTTAAAAAATAGCCTGTTAGGTGAGTAAAGTTACAGACGCAGTTCCTAGGATAAAAATTGGAAATATGTAAACAACAAATTTTACATATCTTCACCACTTTGTGACACCTTCATTTTTTTATTATATTGAACTCTTCTATCCTGTTGGATCCCCCTTTGCTTCTGTGAACCATATTTAACGTTATTACATCCTAAAGCTTCACTCTGGTGGTATTTTATTTTGAGTTTTTGGTTGGATCATACTTTGCACAACAAATGGAAGTTCTATGTTGCTGAATATTGTCCATTTTAGTATCTGTATCCCAAGAAGAAAACAATTGTAACGACCTCAGTGTTGTTGTGTTTAGTTTATTGCCTGATTGCCTATCATCGTGGTTCATTAGTCAATTCATTGAAAACAAATTGTGTCATACACGTGTAAAAGCTTGTAAACAAGTGCATTGGAAGTTATCGCTAGCTATGAAACAAAATGTATATAATATATAAGAAAATATGCATGTGTATATAATACGTAGTAATTCGGTCTGCGTAACTAATGTGCTTTTTGTTAAAAACAGAGCATCTTTTATAGCATTTGGCCTTCTGTCTTTTTATAATATGTTGTATATATATAACTTTTAAAAGAAGAACCAAACAGGCACCCTATAGATATGTCAAACCGCCCTATTGTGGGAGGCAGAAATAAATTACTGGATCGTTTTAAAAACCTTTTATTCCAAATGTGAAAGTTATGTCAAAGATAGTAAAGGTAGAACCAAATCATCTGTAAAGTTGTATCAAAGATAGTAAAGGTAGAACCAAATCATCTGTAAAGTTGTATCAAAGATAGTAAAGGTAGAACCAAATCATCTGTAAAGTTGTATCAAAGATAGTAAAGGTAGAACCAAATCATCTGTAAAGTTGTATCAAAGATAGTAAAGGTAGAACCAAATCATCTGTAAAGTTGTATCAAAGATAGTAAAGGTAGAACCAAATCATCTGTACAGTTATATCAAAGATAGTAAAGGTAGAACTAACTCATCTGTACAGTTATATCAAAGATAGTAAAGGTAGAACTAACTCATCTGTAAAGTTGTATCAAAGATAGTAAAGGTAGAACCAAATCATCTGTAAAGTTGTATCAAAGATAGTAAAGGTAGAACCAAATCATCTGTAAAGTTATATCAAAGATAGTAAAGGTAGAACCAAATCATCTGTAAAGTTATATCAAAGATAGTAAAGGTAGAACCAAATCATCTGTACAGTTATATCGAATATAGTAAAGGTAGAACCAAATCATCTGTTAGTGTCATTTGATGTTGTTGCTTTATATCTCAATACTTCACATAATTTTGGGCTAAAAGCAATTGAGTTATATTATAGTTGATTACATGCTTTGTCTTAACAAGAGGTTAATAAGGAAGTTATCTTAAAAGGTCTAGATTTAGTTCTATCTAATTATTGTGTGTTTAAAGACGATATTTTTCACCAAATCTCGGGAACTGCTATGGGCATTAAAGTTGCACCAGCCTATGCAACGCTAGTAATGGATTTTCTTGAAAGTAAAATGTTTGACCTTCTTTCAAGCTATTTTGAGATTAACTACATAAGTTACTTAAAGATAACATGTGAAAGATTTTTGGATGACTGTTTTGGGCCACCTGGCGGCTCAGCGGAGGGTATGAGGTCTTCTGACGCTAAACTATAGTTTTGATACCCGCGGTAGCTTTGTGTTTAACGACAGACAAATGTTGTAGATGTATCTTAACTCTGTAACTCTGAAGAAACATCAAAGATGTTTAGGGCAAAGTAAATATTTTTTTAAAATATCTGTATTCTGTGAAATTCATGTATTGTATTGTAGTAATTTTTATCGTTAAAGCTAAAGAATTTTGACATTAATTTCAATTTAAAGATTCCTTTTAATTATATTTCTATTTTAATTTGATAACAATAAGATAATTTATTATATAACCTATGTCTTTTAAAAAAATAAAAATTTTTCTAGTTTATATCTTATTTTTTATTTAAACTAGATTTTAAACTTATATTGTTTTTATGGTTTTTATATACTGAGGAGTAAGCCTGTGATGTTACAAAACCCGTGCATTAAAAACATTTTAGGAGAAGAGAAAGGACTGAAGTATATATATATATTTACTTTCAGCTTCTGTTAACTTTAGCCAAATCAATTTTTGAGGAAACGTCGTCCTTAGACGGATTAATCAACAAAATCATGGTCAAGACGCAGGGGCTGTTGACTTGTGAAAAATGCCGAGTATACCTTATAGATGTAGAACAGAGTTCAAGGGTGCGTAAGTAATGCATGTTGGTTAATAAGTCTGCATCTGTCTCTCAGTGTTTCTGAAGGTTTGTCTAATATAATTTTGATTTTCTTTCCATAAACTGTTTACAGATTCTACAAATTTACTTGCTGTAATATATGAGTCGATTAGGGGAGACGGTTATTTTCATCGGCAGAAAACAGTTGGTTTATTTAATTTGTCAAAGTGGAAAAACATGAAGAACACAACATTTCTTTGTATAATGTAGAAGAATCGCTATTTCGAATTTTACATTAGTTAACTTATGCAGACTATAGGACCTGTGACGCTCGGACTGTATTGTTTCATAAAACATATACATACACGTTAAAAAAAAATAATCAAAACATATATTTCTTAAATCTAAGTATTTACTCACAAACCTACGCCTTGTTTGATTGAGCGGGAAAACGAAAACAGGTATTATATGAGATTATCAGTTATTTGACAAGCACGTGCGAAAGTTTTTTCTTTCTTTTTTGGTGAAGGTTGGGCATGTTTCCTGGAGAAAGTTTATGAAAATATGAAGAAAAATTCCAGAATCAGATGTTGCTTTAAACTAGTGTATGATTTTTTTTATAACCGTTCTTCTTCAAGGGAGTATATGACCGTTTTCAAATGATTTAAGTCATTTGATATAACGTTTGATATATAACAAACATAATTATTTGGAAAGTTTTTTGGTGTACAAAACTTGAAGATAGCTTTTATATGCGGAAACATCTGTTAGCTGAGTTCTTGCACAGATCTTAAAATATGATTAGTGTGTGGCGAAAAGCTTCAGCAGATATTTCCTTTGCAACATCTCAACCAACAATTGGTCGAGTT